AAATACCTGAAAATCAAAGGAGAAGAAAACCCTCAAATGACGTCGAAGGGGAAAGGGCGGCGGAACCCTAACAGAGCAGAGAAAGCCACGCATTTTTTTTCATGTTAATAGTACTTATTAGTTGAACATGCAATAGTTTACTTTAATCAGTACCAGCTCCAATTTACAAGAAAAAGAAAACGGCAATTACATCAATAAAAATGATCAACTATATGCATATATTCAAATGTTTTTCTATATATTTAATTAATGTTCAATTATCTCCATATGTAATAATATCAACTAATTTTACAGGATTTTCTTAAAAAGCATTGAATATTAGTTGAGCATTAGTTTCAGAAAATGATCGTGGAAAGGCTAACTGCATATGAGCAAGTCTTTTTAAAAAAAGGAGGAAAAAAAAAAACATACAATGAAAGAATTCAACATATATGCCAATAGAAAATTTGTGACACTGCCTTTGATCTCCTAAAACAAGCATGTAGGTTCAAGATTTACTTGTTTCTTAAGAGTACCATTTCAGAAATTTGACTAAACTAAAGAAAAATAAAAGAAATTAATTAGCCTAAATTAAAGAAAATCAAATTCATACTATAATATCAAAATGGTTTATTTTCGAAAGGCTAAGTGAACTACAACATAACCTTTTCATAAAGAGCAGCACTGCAGCACGGATGTCGAGCCTTCAAATCCATAGAATCAAACAATCAGTATTAGAATATGTTATACATAGTTAAAGTAGTAGCAATGTTGACATAGTTACACTTGATTTCATATCAAACTAAGGGTTCTTTAATTGATTAGGTTGATTGAAGATTACAAATTATATTTTGAATATTAATAAAACTATAAATCTCATTGATTTTAAATTCATACATGTATCACTTCTCTAAAAAATCTAGCATCCATCGGTGTTAGAATTTATTATTCATAGTTAATTAATACTAATAATAGCAATATCAAAATTCTTATACTTCATATTCAAACTATATATAAAGTGATTTGTTAATTAATTTTGTTAATTGAATTTAGAAATTATATTTTTAATATGATTTAAAATTTAGATCTTATTGATTTTTAATTTTCAAGGATGACGATTTCAATTTCAAGCTTAAAAAATCATATACATACCGCATTAGAAGAGCCGTTGTTGGAATCCTGCAAACCAGTAAAATTAGTGTTAAAATTTGTTATTCATAGTTAATTAATACGAGTAATAACAATGTTAAAATTCCTTCACTTCATAATCAAACTATATAAAGACTTATTAATTTATTTGGTTAATTTAAGTTTAGAAATTATATTTTGATTTTACATTTTTTAGAATTATTGTTTTATTTTAAACAAATTTTTTTGTCGCCATACATGCAGGCAATCAAATGGGTCCAAAGATCCTCATCAAATATGTAAGGGAAAAAAAATACTTTTTAATGATTTATTTTATAAAGGCTTATTATAGAAAGGGGATAATGAAGGTGCCAACCAATTGCTCCTACCATAGGCGGGGGGGTGGGGCAAGCCTCGTTCTATATATTCTTTTAAAGTTATTTATTAAACCAGAGAAGTTACAAACATCTTTTTCTGGACATATGAAAAGCATCAATGGTTCGTTTTTCCTTCTGCTCCTCTCTCACCCCCTTACTAAGGAACTTTTATTTTATCCGGTGAACGTACGCTCCTCTACGTTCGGTTTTAGATCAAAACAGCGCAATACCGAGTTTTTTGAGAAAACTCGGTACTCGGTACTCGGTATTGCGCTGTTTTGATCTAAAACCGAACGTAGAGGAGCGTACGTTCACTGGATGTAATAAAAGTTCCTTACTAAGATTGTCCGGGACAGATGTTTATGTCTTCTAAGCTCTAAGGACCAAGTTACTTGCATTCTTAATTTCGATCTTATAGTTTCTCTTGGCTCCGAAAATGAGACGACAAATGAAACTATGTTAATGTATTCTAACCTTTCAAATGAGACGGCAATCAGAACTATTTTAATGGCAAAAAAAGGTTATTAATATCGAACAGCCAGCGCCCCTCTTGGCTCCGCAACTGCTCCAGGTTATCAATATCATCGAACTGCAAACAATCAGAATACTGTTAGAGTTTTTGTATTCACAATTAATTAATTAATATAAGTAGTAATAGTTAGTAATGTTAGAATACTGTTAAAATCTTCATTTGAATTTTTTTATACAGAATTAATATAATTAGTAGTAGGTAGCATTGTTAAAATTCCTATACTTTATTTCATATCAAACTATGTAATGGTTCAATAATTAATCCGGTTTTTTGTGGAGGTGGCAAAAAGGGTAAGAGTAAATAAAAAGAAATGTAGTTCCTTAAAAAAAAAAAAAAAACGAACGTGCAGATTAACTAGTAGCATAAGGGCTGCACTTAAATTTTTTTGCTAAATTAAAGAAGATAAAACAAATTAATTAGGATAAATTAAAGAAAATCAAATTCATACTATAATATTGAAAATAAATATTTTAAAATGATTTATTTTTGAAAGGCTAACTGAACTGCAACACAAACATTTTTAAATTCTGCGCCTCCTCGGTCTATACAAATCGATCATTAGAGCTAAATTATCAATGTTAGAATATGTTATTCATAGTTAAAGTAGTAGCAATGTTAAGAAACTTATACTTGATATTATATCAAATTAAGGGTTCTTTAATTAATTTGGTTGATTGAAGCTTAGAAATTATATTTTTAATATTAATAAAATTATAAATCTCATTGATTTTAAATTCATACATGTATTACTTCCCTTAGAAATCTAGCATCCATCTATGCCCCATAAACTATTAGAATTATTGTTAGAATTTGTTATCCATGCTAAATTAATATAATTTGTAGTAATGTTTAAATTCTTGCACTTCATATTCAAATTATAAATAGAGAGATTTGTTAATTAATTTTGTAAATTGATGGTTAGAAATTATATTTTTAATTTTCAAGGATGACAGCTTCATCTTTAAACTTAAAACTCATACACATACCTTGTCGGAAGAGTCTTCATCAGAATCCTGCAAACCATTAGAATTAGTGTCAGAATTTGTTATTCATAGTTAATTAATACAAGTAATAGCAATGTTAAAATTCTTCCACTTCATAATCAAACTATATATATAGATATTCATTAATTTATTTGGTTAAATTATGTTTAGGATGATTGTTTTATTTTAAACAAATTTTTTATTTACATGCAGCCAATCAAATGAGTTCAAAGATCCTCGTCGTCGTCGAATATGTAAGGCAAAAACAATACTCTTATTATAGAAAGGAGATAATGAAGGTACCAACCTGGTCCTCGAGCATAGCCCTAATAAACGCTGATTCCTGCAAACAATCAGAATACTGTTAGAGATTTTTTTTTTTTCCTCACAATTAATTAATATAAGTAGTAATTGTTAGTAATGTTAGAATATTATTAGAATCTGCATTCGAGTTTTTTATTTTTATTTTTTAATACAGAATTAATATAATTAGCAGTAGGTAGCATTGTTAAAATTCCTACATTTTATTTCATATCAAACTTTGTAATGGTTTAGTAATTAATCCGGTCTTTAGAAAGTTTATAAATTATATTTTCAGTCTTAAGATTATTAATTTAAATAAGAAAAAAATGATATAATACCCCAAAAGTAATTAAATTTTAAGCACAAAAATTGAAATTGAGATGACAAAATTATATTGACATAGCTGAATTAATATAACTAAATTATGTATTGGAATGATTTCTTATACATACCTTATCTTGATAGGTGAAACCATGCCGTTGGCACCACTCTCTCATCCCAGGACAGTTAAATACAAGTGCAAAGCCTTCTTCAAATGAAACTCTTCCACATGGATGATCAAAGTCTTCATTTCGATTGGGCTTGAGTTCGAAACAATCTACTAATTTCAAAACTTTAAGAGTGACAACAAGATTGCTCAAGTTGATGACCGACTTGAGATTGTTGCAAAAAAAAATTTTCACTTCTTGAAGCCTTGAAAGCTGTCCTGAGCTATAAGGAAGTGCAATATATTCAAGTCTTCCACAGGATAGCACATAAATTATCTCAAGACTTAATGGGAGGATTGATATATGTTGCAGTTCGAAGCAATGCATTATGTGTAAACACTTAAGGCTCAAGAAATCTTCATTCTTCTCCATTAGCTGCCCTTTCCATTCAAGCACATTTGTTCTTGTCATATATTGAAATGAACGAAAATTGTAATTCTCAAGGCAACCATGAGAGGCATTATAACACCAAAAATCTTGCCCCATTCTAGTTATCCCATTATGAAGCATAATTTTAAGTGATGTGAGGGATGGTAGCTTAGACAGAGGAAGAAACTTGCATTCTTCATTGCTGTAAAATTTTTTCAACTTTATTTTTGTTAAATTGGAGAAGTGAGGATTTCCAAACCAACTTGGGAAGCTGCTTCTATTGTAGCCCTTTATGGTTAACTCTTTAAGGTTTGTGTGGGGTTGGAGGCCTTCAAGAATAGCTTTATTATTCCTTGCACATTCATCATATTTACCATATTTCCAGATAAGTTTTAGGCTCTCGACATATGCCTTACTTTGTAAATTGGCACTCTTTGCATCTTCAAGATCGACCACATTTTCAAGCCCACAAAGCTTTAGTCTTCTTTGTAAATTTGTTAAGGGTTTCAACCATCTAATAGTAGAATATGGACCATCTCTTCGTACATGATATATAGATGCAAACAATTCCTTTATTACCTCATTAAAACCAAGAGTAAGGAGATTTTCACTCCCAAAATATGATCTCGGCACCAATGTTTGATCATTGGTTACAATCATCAAGTGACGTAAGTTGATAAGTTCTTCCATTACATTGGGTAACATATTTATATGATATGTTTGAAGTATTAATGTTTGTAACTTGTAAAGGCTACATAGTGAGTTCTCTGTCATATGGATTGTACTTGCATTGATAGAGAGAAAACAGAGTTGTTGCAGGTCACCTATCGAATCTATAAATTCATAGCTGCATTCAAAATAAGGTACATGAAATCTCAAAACACGCAAGCAGCGCATACAAGAGAATACAATCTTAGAACAACTATTTGGATGATGTTCCACCATAGAGAAATAATGTAATTCACAAATGTAAAGTGTTCTAATATTCCCAAGTTGATGAATTTGATCAACCATTTTATCTTCTATGAATATATGCTTTGCATCTTTGGAGATATTCTTCAATTCATCAAAATCTAATGAAGAACATATCTCATTTCTAGTTATAGATTGAGCTAAATCATGCACCATATCATGCAAAATAAATCCTATATTATATTTTGAGCATTGAAAGAATGACCTTCTCACCACGTCTTCAAAGTATTCAACTGCAATATCTTCCTGTAAACATTTTCTTTCTGTGAGCTGAATGTAACCGTGATCGATCCACATTCTTATCAATTCTAGTTTCTCAAAATAATGATCCTTTGGGAACAGAGATGCATAGAGAAAGCATGGTTTAAGATATGATGGCAAGTGATTATAGCTTATGATCAGTGAAGACAAAATAATTTTTTTGGGATCCCATAAATTATTGTTTAATACATCCATCCATGTTTGCTCCTTAAAATCATTTTGTAGAAATCCCCCAATAACTTTTAAAGCCAAAGGCAATCCGCCACATTTCTTAGTAATTCTCCTCCTGAGTTGTTGAAAATCTGGATGTTGATCAAGCTTCCGACCATGGAAAGCGTGTCTTTGGAACAATAACCATGACTCCTCTTCATGCAAGCATTCAAGCTGAAGAGGAGGGGACACCATTTGCATGATGTGAGCAACTGACATAGATCGAGTTGTTACAATAATGTTTCCCACTCCAATATCAGAAAAGGGGGCTCGTAAGGCCTCCCACTTATATGCTCTCTCATTCCAAACATTATCAAGAATAAGTAAAAATCTTTTGTTTGATAGAGCCTCCTTAAGTATACAATGAAGATCCTTCAAGTTATTTTTATCATCGGGGATAGTTGACTTGGTAATAGATGACACAATTTCTTTTGTTATTCTCAAAACATCAAAGTGTTCGGAGACACTGACCCAAACCTTAGGGAAAAAATGCTGGCATACCACAAGATCATGATATATAAGTCGAGCAAATGTTGTCTTCTCCACACCCCCCAAGCCAACAATGGGAATTACAATATTCTTCTTCTCATAATGAGACAATAAAAGTTCAATTATCTTTTTCTTATCATCCTCCCTTCCAAAAATGGGAGATTCATCTTGATAAGAACTACTAGGTGGCATCTTCATAACATCGTTGAAATTAGTCCGCCAAGGTGCATCTTCTTCTCTAAGATAAAGTGCTTCTCTATCATATTCAATCTCATCAAATTTCTTTATGATCTCAATGATCCTCATGGTCATGCCACAAGAAATGGGAATTTTAATTGAATTAGATGGAGGTAGTGATACCTGATCATAGTTTTCATGCATTATCAACATATTTATAAACATATCCACTCACTTTTTAATAACTAATATTTTAATTGAATTTTGGAGTGGAAGACATACCTTTAGAGAAGATTGTGCTTCAGCTGCTGCTGTTATTCCTTCCACTTGAATTTTGATAACTTGATAATCATATTGATCCAAGACATCTTCAACATCACAAGCAACTTCTCTAAGCTCGCTGAGCCATAGCTGGATAACCTTCTCATTGATCTCCCTCTCCTCGGCATCATGAATGACTGCCTGAATTCTTCGTATCATCCTCGGCAATCGACTCAAATCCTCCATTAATCTTTTTTGGATCGAATTAACTTCGGCAGCATTTACATCTTCTTGTGCTATGGATGATGAGGAAGATGCATCCAGTGAACTAAAGGTAGGCATAAACTGAGATAACCTTTCCAAGGAAGACAATAGGTTGGAGATGATCAAAGAAGTTGTTCTTGCCATCTACAAACACTTAGCTCAAGAATCGATGAAGCTTCAATGTGGATTGATGATGATTCAGAGCAGATGAAATTATGAATTTTGAGTGATTAGCAGAGGGCAAGTCAATTCAGAGGTCTTTCATTAGCCCTTAAGACCTCCAACGATGTAGATGATAACAGTAAACTAAAACAAAATCATGAAAGGACCAACAAAGACCTTGACTTTAATTCCATCAATAATTTTGAAAACAACAAGTTTTAATATTACAATATTGAACACCACTTTTTGCTCTCGCATTCATTGCAGGCACAGCTCCTTTTCTTCCCTTGTGAGCTAGGTGGCGAATAATAAAGAAAGAGAGCACATGAGCAGATTCTTTTTGCTGTTCTCTTTTCTTTCCTATACTGTTAACGTTTTGTTTTTGTATGTTGGCATGTGTTTTTTATTGTTTTTTCTTTGAGCAGCTTTCACTTGTAATTTTTTCTTCATCAATAAATTGGGCATATTGCCCCAAAGTTTCCCAAAAAAAAAAAAAATTAGCACAATTAATGGCCATAGCTTTTTCCTCTCACATGCATTGCAGACACAGCTCCTCTCTTCCCATGTGGAGTTACACAGCATTGCATCCAATAGCTTTGTTGGTAGGTGGCGAATAATAAAGAAAGAGAAGGACGAAAAAATATTAGGTGCGGAGTGCAGACGGGGGAGCACCGTCTGCACACACACAGGGTACCAAGCGGTACCTAGTGGTACCCAGCGGTACCGAATGGTACCTAGCTGGATTTTATACTAGTGTGCGGATGGTTCTCCCCGTCTGCACTCCGCACCTAATAATTTCTCGAGAAGGACAGCACATGGCCCCACCTTCTTTCTTAAATTATCCTTTTGATATTTATTAAATTATACTCTAATATATATTAACTATAATAAAAATTGTAATTAAATCTTTTTATGTAATAGTAAAAATATAAATATAATTAAATATAATTTTATATTGGTCTATATTCCAAACATCCAAATCATTATTGAAGCGGTCTAATTGAGACTATTGGCGTCAAAATCAGCAGAAATTATTATGTGCGTGATTCAGACATAACTTGCTTTCGGACTCCAACCAAGACATACCACATAATTCTGTGCACATAATACTATGCACAATTTGCACAAAAGCTTCTATTTTGAGTGATTTTGACATGTTTTTTTATTATGTATTTTAAATAATTAAACATTAATATTAATATTTTAGATGTTAGATATGTGAATAATATAAAATAAAGTGGAATGTATGTAAATCTCCCAATTATTCTTTTTCTTTGAAGGAGTCAGGAAAAAAAAAGTTTAGTGGCATTAATGCAAAGAAATTTAATCATGAATATATATATATATATATATATATATATATATATATAAAGGAAATATATTGATAATAAAATCCGGTTACATCATATGTAGACATACAACAAATAAAGCAAAGATAAAACTGATGAGTACAATAAAAGATTTGGCTCAGCAAACAGCCAAGACTTCCAGCATCCCTGGAGCCTCGCGCGGACTATCCAGTAAGGTGGGAATCGAAAACCGACCCGAGAGCCACCAGCATTCCGAGAGCCACACCAAAGGTTGCCACAGCTAAACACCAGGGACGCGAGCCCCGACCACATCATTGCCCATATTATCGCATCAGCCAAAAGAAAAAAAACATGAAACCCAATAGATAAAGAAGAGAAATCAAAAGCTAAGAAAACATTAGCGTCTACGGCGGCCTCGGCCGCGAAGTCTCCCCTGAGAAGCAACAATTAAATTAGGTCGCGCACGAACTAGTGTGAAGTCGTTACCAGGGTCCGACCCCCCACAAAATTTCGGAGAAGCCAAGCCACCTTCTGAGCAATCTGATACATAATCACCATCCGACGACTCATTCAACCAATTAAAGTGGTTCCTAATGTCCAAACCAGACAAATCCCCAACCTGATTTGCCAAAAAATTCTAATCCACTAAATTCACAGGAACTTCAATTAAATTATTGATAACCGGGTTACATACAGCCACAGTATCAACCCGAGTAGTGACCAAAGGTGCAACATTAACAGTATCCGACGAGTGAAACGGCATAGGATTCATACTCGGAATTGGTATAGTAGTAGGAAAGAAAGGAATCGCATTTGGGGATAAACCAGCAGTAGTCCCGCTAGCCTCCATTCCACCAGAATTCACTATAGCTACATTTGACTCCACCAGATCAGACAGAAGCTCATTCAAATCATTTTGTGCAACATTAATAGGTACAGGAAAGGGGTCTGCCGATAAAGGAACAACAGGAGACTCAATAGCATTCGTGATAGGTGAACACTCACCCAGAGCAGGACACACAGTATCATTAAAAACCTCCACCGCGACAGATACCCCCCCACAAACAGGGGTAGCAAACGGCTCTACAGCAAGAACATTCTCAGGAATGATAACCTTATTCAACATCTCACACTCCAGAGCAATCTTAGAAACACGCTCAGCCACTATGCTAACAGGCGCTAAAGGAGGGTTGGGAAAATTTTGAATCACAGGAGCAACAGGTTTGCAATTACCATGTACATACCCGATACACTTACAACCAGCACAGAATTGAGGAAATTCATCTAAAACAACCTCTTGAGTATAACCTAAAGATTCAGATCCTAACCACACTTGTTTAGGATAGGATTTAGTTATATCAAGTTCAACTAACACCCGGGCAATGGAAGGGCGAAAACCAATATTAAATAATATTGTTCAAGTTTTAATATTACAATACTGAACACCACTTTTTGCTCTCGCATGCATTGCAGGCACAGCTCCCTTTTTTTTCCGTTGTGAGTTAGGTGGTGAATAATAAAGAAAGAGAGCACATGACCAGATTCTTTTTGCTGTTCTCTTTTCTTTCCTACACTGTTAACGTTTTGTTTTTGTATGTTGGCATGTGTTTTTTACTATTTTTTCTTTGAGCAGCTTTTACTTGTAATTTTTTCTTCATCAATAGATTGGGCATATTGCCCCAAAGTTTCCCAAAAAAAAAAATTAGCATAATTAATGGCCATAGCTTTTTCCTCTCACATGCATTGCAGACACATCCCGGGTGTTAGTTGATCTTGATATTAATGATACTTGTTCACCAATATTAAATGATACTATTCATGAACATAAACAAACCGAATGCTAGTTGTTCAAGCTTGTTTAGTATTTATCAAAAGTGTTTAAGCTCATTCATTTACCATATCAAACGAACATGAATGAGTTCTTACCTAGCCGAAAGAGCCATGAGTAGCTCATCGTACACTTGGTTTATTTGCAGCCCTAATTTAACCTCTGAAAAGTGAAGTTTAAATTTTTATGGCATTCCTTGATGGATGAAACAATATCTATATAGAATACGCTTATAATTAAAATGAGCATCTTGATGATAGATTTTGATATTATTGAAGTGTATAAATGTTTAAAGAAAATTACATTATCAAGGATATTCATACAAACCGTTCAATCAAGTAGTTTTTTTTTTTTTTGTCAAAATGAAACCTGTCAACAACATGAATGCCAGCACCCAACATTATTACCATCTCCAAAGTATTTCATCACAAGCAATGCTGACATACATTGTTGCCACCAATATTAATGCCCTCCATCACTAACAAAACCAATTGGCACTACCTCTAACAAGGTTGATGCCCGACGTAGCCTGCAAGACTAATGCTTCCCTTCAACACCACTTTGATGTCTTACATTGCCACTAACAACACTTATTGTCATTAGCAAGGTTGAAGCTCACCATTGACACCATCACTGACACCAATTGTCGATAACTGCCATCAACATCGATGCAAATGAAAAATATTGCGAGCAAGGCCAATCTCCAATGCTGACACTAAAATTGAATACTGATGTCGCTAAGAACATCGACATCCAACATCACAAATAAAGCTAACGCTCAACATGTGCACCAATGTCAACGTATATCATCACCAATAAGCCCACAATAAAGTTAATAAATAATTTTAAATCATAAAATGTTGCTTTAGCTTGGGATACTGCAATGGACATGCCAATGAAAACTTGTAGTAGGACGATGTAGGTTTCGTTTAGGAAAGCTTTCTTTTTGCTTTCTAAAGCTGTTTTTTAGTATAAAAATTTTATGTACTAGAAATTTTCGCACTATAAAACTACTTTAGAAAGTAAGAAAACTATTCCTAATGAAGCTATAGTCGTACTATTTAACTTTTAGTAATAGTACCAACTGCTAAGTCTTGCTATTGAACCTTAGATAGCTTTAATGTCTATGAAGAAGTTTTATTGCTCGATGAAGGAAATATACTCAATTATGTGTCTTTTTTTTTCATAAAAGCCCACGGAAGAGGTCTGCTCGTTAATAACAAAACAGGATTACAAGTCCTTAAAGGTTACGAAGCCCTCTAAAATACATCAATAGAAATAAAACCAATGAGCCTCAAAAACCAACTAATTACAAAAACAATTCAAAACCAAATAAAAAATAGTTAGTAGAAGCTTCGAAGCCACCAACATCCAGATCATGCATCATACAAAGTAGTTCCTGCAAAAAATAAAGAGGAGGCAGAGATGGACAAAAACGAGAAAGCATAAAAATAAGTCTAAAAGACATCCACCACAACACCAAAACCGCCTTGAATCCAACGGAGAACAAATCCCCTAAGTCAAGCCAAAAAAAAACCTCAGCACCCATCTAGCTAACTAGAAGAAGATTACCTCTTCCTCAATTTTTGCCTACTGCTTACTTCTACCATGAGAGAAGCTTTTATGAATTTTACTACTCACATTTAAACTATATAAGTCATGAAACTCCTCTGACGGCTCATCCAAACCCTCTCCAACTTCCCCACAAGGCGAAGAACCATACCCATCCAGCCAATCATATTGATCCACACTGTTTTCGATCAGTCACATTTGAAGACAAAAAGACCTTCAATTGATTGGAAGACAAGCTCAGTTGGCACATCGACACAAGGCACCTTCTCCAT